GTCCTGCCACTGGATCTAACCAACGCCTTTATCCAACGTGCCATAAACGTTGTTATAAATATGGCGACAAAGATGAGGGCAATAGACCGAATAATGTAAATAGTGTACATAATACCTCATCTCAGAAATAAAGACAGATACTGAATCGTCAGAGAGTTCCGTTTAATTTTTATTGTATTGAATTCATACGAATAAAACGTTTTACATCAAAAGCAAAATCGTGAATAAATTGTCAAATGTTCATGCTTTTGTTTTTGTTTTTCTTCAAATACTTTGTCAGTCTTTATCATGAACTGAGTTTTGTCAAAATGGTAGACAAGATTTTGTTTGTTACATCCTTGCATTTTGGCAAAGGTTATAATTCCGATTTAACTACAACCGCATTCTATAAGCGACGTCATGTATGGAATTGATTCAAAGAGCTTGACTGCACTGGAAAAATAATACTCTCACCCACACATCAACATATATATATATATTATTTGCATGTGCAGTATTTAGTAGAAAGCGCTCAATATCAATGATAGAGCTAACATATTCATATCCATACAACTGAATATATATATATATTTATTAAAGATCCATATGTTTAACGTTGAATATTTTATATATATATATATATATATATATATGTTTATAATAAACATCCTATACGAACCGTCATAAGATACGTAAAATCCGGTGAACTTATAGACATTTTATTTTTTACAAAATAAACTCCAATCTTCCATTTCGTACATTTCAGCTGCTAATTATCGAATGTAAACAAATGACGTCATTATTAAAAATGGATATGGTTACAATTTATTTATTAAAATACATTTTTATTTTAATGTTGTTATGTTTAACGTTGTTCCGTATAATGCAGGTTCGAATCCTGTCAAAGAACGAATATTTTCTATGAAAATTTCTCGGACATTCAGGCCGGTAAATGTTATTTAATACTGTTTATCATAAACAAAATTTGCTTAAATACTTATATCGATAAAATAACAACGTTAAACATAAAAATGTCTTTAATAAATAAACTGTCGGACCTTATTTCTTAATATATATATATATATATATATATATATATATATATATATATATATATATATATATAAAAAAAAAGGTTAAACACTAATTTTATTATAATATATTACTAATAACAGGAAGGCCTAAATAAGTAGTTTATGTACAGAAATTTATATAAGACAAACTGAATAAATAGCTTAATTGAAGTTCTTTTGTCAGTTTTATTTAATGACACTTGTGTGGGATTGCTGCATAAATACACATTCATTATATATATATATATATATATATATATATATATATATATAGATATATACAGAGAGAGACAGAGATGGAGAAAGAGTAAGAGTGCGTGAGTCAAAGAAAGAGAGAGAGAAAGGGAGAGATTTAGAAAAAGAAAAAAAGATAAAGAAATAGAGAATCACTATAGATACACATATATAAATATCTACATATTCAATTAAAGATTAAACAACAAATCATCCTTACTAATGGCTAATAGAATCGGCGAAAATGATCCGATATATAGGACCTTTGGACAGTTTTTACATATTTTAGGTTCAGAAAAGAAATCGTACGAATACAAGACGAAATGAAGGTAGATATTGAGATCAATATCGAGGGGTGATAATTTGTTTGATATTTGAATGCAATCTTCAGGTCATGTGTGTTGGCTTGGTTATTATATATATATATATATATATATATATATATATATATATATATATATATATGATAGCCAAATAAGGGATTATGTATAGCAAAGTCTATTGCATTATCCTATATCTCATGACTTCCACTGACCTGACGTGGAACAACGATATTGAATCAATAGCTGCATCTACTGCAAGGAAAGTTGGTTCTTTGTATCGCACCAGAAGATTTTTGTCTGAGTTCATCCTTCACATATACAAACCTTTGGACAGATTTTACACACTTTACGTTCAGAAAAGAAAAAAAATTGTGCAAATGCAAGACAATGTGAATAAAAAACTTAATCGCAATTCCTTGTCAATTGTCTTTAATGAGACCTGAATAAAATAGGGATTGCTTCCGAATACACATTTATATATATATATATATATATATATATATATAGAGAGAGAGAGAGAGAGAGAGAGACAAAGAAAGTAAGACAAAAAACACAGAGAGACAGAGAGAGAAAGAGAACCTGTGACAAAGAAAGAGAAACAGGAAAACAAAGAAAGAGAGAGTGAGACAAAGAAAGAGAGACAGAGAAACATAGAGAAAGAGAGGGTGAGACAAAAAAAGAAAGCGAGAGAAACAGGTAAATAGAGATAGTGAGAGAAAGAGAGAGGTTGACAAAGGAAGTGAGACAAAGAGAGAAAGACAGAGAGAAAGTGAGAGAGTGAGACAAAGAAAGACTTCATGTTCAAAAAAGAAAACACTTTTACGAATGCAAGAAAACTTGAGATCAATACCAAACGGCGACAGTTTGTTTGATATTTGAATGCAATCTTCA